CACACACAGGACGTCACACACAGGACATCATACAGGACGTCACACTCACACAGGGGAGTCACACACAGGGAACATCACAGGACGTCACACACACACAGAGGACATCACACAGAATGTCACACTCACAGGGGAGTCACACACCGGGAACGTCACACTCGCACAGGACGTCACACTCACACAGAGGACATCACACAGGACATCACGCTCACAGGGGAGTCACAGGGAACGTCACACTCACACAGAGGACATCACACAGGACGTCACACTCACAGGGGAGTCACACAGGGAACGTCACAGTCACACAGAGGACATCACACAGGACGTCACACACAGGGGAGTCACACACAGGAAACGTCACACTCACACAGGGGACTTCACACAGGACATCACACTCACATAGGGGAGTCACACACAGAGAACATCACACACAGGACGTCACACTCACACAGGGGAGTCACACACAGGGAACATCACACACAGGACGTCACACACAGAGGACATCACACAGAATGTCACACTCACACAGGGGACCTCACACTCACACAGGGGACATCACACAGGACGTCACACCCACAGGGGAGTCACAGGGAACGTCACACTCGCACAGGACATCACACACAGAGGACATCACACAGGACGTCATGCTCACAGGGGAGTCACAGGGAACGTCACACTCACACAGTGGACCTCACACTCACACAGGGGAGTCACACTCACACAGGACATCACACTCACATAAGGGAGTCACACACAGAACATCACACACAGGACGTCACACACAGAGGACATCACACAGGACATCACACTCACACAGGGGAGTCTCACACAGGGGACCTCACACCCACACAGAGGACATCACACAGGACGTCACACTCACAGAGGACATCACACAGAATGTTACACTCACACAGGGGAGTCACAGGGAATGTCATGCTCACACAGGGGACGTCACACTCACACAAGGGACATCACACACGGGACGTCACGCTCACACAGGACGTCACACTCATGCTCACACAGGGTATGTCACACAGGGTACATCACACTCATGCTCACACGGGATATGTCACACACAAAAGGTGTGCCACACACACAGGGTGCATCACACTCGCACACCGGGTGTGTCACACTCACACAACGTATGTCAGACACACACAGAGTATGAGGAACTGGTCGGTTCCATCTCCCTCCGGTGGCGCCCGCGCCCTGGGGAGCCGTCAGCACTGCAGGGAGGCCGCAGCGTAGCCGTGGGGCCGAAGCAGGGGCGGGCCCTCTAATCCCCTGCTCGCACAGCCTCCCCCTGCCTCTCAGGTTAACCTCTCGTCGCCCTGATGACCGGTGCCCGCCTGAGTCCGGCCACCGGAGAAAAGGAGAGAAGTAGTTCTTGATTCGAGACTAGCCAGATAAACCTTCCCTTCACCTCCCTTTGTAAAGGACCTTTATGCCTTCCGGGGGGCGCAGAGTGGACAGACTCTTCTAATCCTGCGTAAAAACATGAATCCTTGCTGTTTTACTCCTGCAACCACTTTTCCTGTGTAAAAACTATACTTCTAAAAGTCCTCAAATATAATCTGGTCAGTAATACTTGTTGGAAAAAAGCCACCCTGGTTTGTCTACAGTCACTTAAGGCAGAATCTCGTGGCATTTGTAACCACTGTGAAAATCGCATTTGTTGTCAGGTGTTCTTTCTTACAGTTACTGGTTTAATAACACTTCCTTCAGCTGTTGAATGCATCATTCGATGCACAGAAACCCAAGCCAGCGTGTGCTTGTTTAAAGGATAAAACAGTCATTCCTTGGGGCACTTGGGTGGCTCAATCGGTTAAGTGTCCGAGTTCAGCTCAGGTCATGGTCCCACGCTTTGTGGATTTGAGCCCCACGTCGGGCTCAGTGCGGACAGCTCGGATGCTGGAGCCTGCTTCGGATTTTGCGTCTCCCTCTCTCTCTGCCGCTCCCCCTCAAAATAAAAACATTTTTAAAAATGTTAAAAAACAGCTATTTCTTATGGCTGCTTTAGGCAGTTTAATTCCCTAAAATCGTGCCCAGGGTATTATTAGTTTTTACCTCTTTTATCCCATCGTGTTCTGGATGAACACAGAAGGCAAGCCAGGTGTTTGCAAAGCACAGCCCAGCGACGCTTCCCTAACCAGTGTGACCCAGAGAACCTTATCTCTGCCGGATGTCCTGCAAGAGTTGCTTCAGCTGCCCAAACAGTGTCGCCAGGAGTGATGGCACAGCTGCTTCACCCATGAGGCTCCCCCCAGCCCCCATGGCCCCCTCACCACCAGCTCACCGTTCCCAGCACCACCTGCACAGTGGAATCGCCAAGGAGGCTTTAAATATACTCATGCCCAGGGTTCTACTCCCAAAGGTTCTTATTTCATTGGTCTGGGGCGTGCCACCGCGACGGAACCCTGACCCACCTACACTCTGTGGGACTCCAGGGAAGGAACGGAACACCTCTAAATTGGGACATATCCCTGCACAAGCGAGGAACTGGCCGGGTATTCGCTGGTTCTTAAATAGCGTTGGTTAGCCATGGCGTCCGGACTGTGTGCAAGTGGGGAAGGAGCCTGGCTCTGGCCCCCGCCCCTCTGTCTCCCCCTGTCACCACCTGGAAAGGCACTGTGCTTAATGTTTTATAGGTCAGGGCGTTGTGCAAATATTTTGTTTCAAATAAAGGATTCTACTCCAAAGCAATAGAAAGGTAAAAACTACTGAATTAGAGATGAAAAATAGCATTTGCCTCAGAAAAGTCAAGGTATGTAAAAACAATCTACAGAAATCTCTAAAATTTGGTGGCTCTGCCTAGAGAATAGTTTCACTAAGTTCTTATAAATGCAGGTGACTCCCTCCTTTTGTGTCTGATATATTATCGGAAGAATGAAATATACCCTCCAGAAGACAAACTTTTGGTTGATCAAGTGGTTTCCACAGAGGATAATACATGATAAAACCCACAATTGCACTGCTTTTCAAAAACTAACATCAATATATTTCTAGCGTTTCATGAATCTTTTTTTTACTTTTTTTCTTAACGATCTTTTTAATGTTTATTTTTTTGAGAGACAGTGTGTGAGTGGGGGAGGGGCAGAGAGAGAGGGAGACACAGAATCCAAAGCAGGCTCCAGGCTCTGAGCTGTCAGCATAGAGCCCAACACGGGGCCCAAACCCACGAACTGTGAGATCATGACCTGAGCCAAAGTGGGATGCTTAACGGACTGAGCCACCCAGGCGCCCCTCTTAATGAACTTCTGATTGAGCACAACTCATTACCCCCAGCTTGTATTAAATACAGGAAAGCCTGCTTCTTGTCACTAGTTCTCTGTGACTTTTCCCCCATTTCCTAATCATTGTTTTAAATAGGCAAAATGGAATGGAATGTTCAGATAATTTGCAAATATGTGTTGGCTGTTCGAGATGGTACTGCTGACAGACGTCACCTAGTTACTGGCTGGTAGATGGCATCACCCCATGTGTCCAAGGCCAAGGGCTATTTTTTATCTAAAGTTTGAAAGCCAATATTAGACTTTTATAAAAGACCCTTTTAGATATGTCAATATATATATAAGTAAAAGTTTATGTCAGTTTATAAAAAAGTAAAAGTTATACCAAAGTTCAATGCTTTGAAGTCAGGGGCCAGCCCTACTGAAATCCCTAACACACTTAAAATATAATCCATATGATTTCTCAGGAAGAAATTTATTGTGTGAAATTATTGCCATTAAAATGCCAGTGGGACTTCGACTGTTCCACACCCTGACGTTATTTTCATCTCTGACATTAACTCGAAAGTCCTCGGTTGTTCTACAAAGGAAAAAAGAGACAAACCAAAAAATGACTCTTAACCTGAGAGAACACACTGATGGTTACAGAGGGGAAGTGGGTGGGGGAAATCAGTGAAGGGGATTAAGAGCACACTTATCTTGATGAGCACAGGGTTATGTGTGGAGTTGTTGAATCACTGAATTGTACACCTGAAACTAATATAACACTGTGTTCACTACAGTGGAATTTTTTTTAAGTATAAAAAAATGTTCTTGGTTCCACTAAACATTACCTAGGAAACAACATAATTAAGAATAACAGAAGATGACTTTCCTTACTAAAGTTAACAAAACATAGCAATCCACTCCCAAACAACTGGTATCAATTTGTTATCCTGAGTGATGAATAAGAAAGTTAAACTGCTGTTTATTTTTGATGTTCTGTGCACAGGAGAAGATGGACGGCTGGCGTATGAACAGCTGGACAAATTTCCTCGAGACAGTGTTAACGTCGCAGGGCGACATGGGGCTGAAGTCGCCACGGCCTTTTAAGGAGCTCTGCCTAACAGCTGTCTTAATAAATGGCCCTGTTCATGAAGATGGTGCTGGGATTTAGCAGGAATGTTTAAAACCTGAAGAGTTCCACTTAGGTTGTCTGGAAACGTAAGATGGTACAGATAGAATTCAAAGTCGAGTACCTCTCTGTTTTCCCTTTGGCCAGTAGAATAGGGCTGTGTATGACTCCGTAGATTACAATGTCAACTGAGTCTGACAGTACTTAGTAAAAGAGTCTATTTTATCTCCTACGTATGGAATTTTAAAACAGCCATCTTTGTACTTTTTTGGGAGTTCTTCTCTAAGCCTGAAGTCGTCACGTGATACTTTGATGCCTATCATCCACCTTGTGGTGTTTCTCTGTCGGGTCCTGAGGGTCGAGTGGCCCCACCAGCTACCTAATTTTACCTTAAATGGAAAGCACAAGAAAGAATTTCTTCAAATAAAGGTTTACCTGCAGGACTTGGTAAAATGACACATTGTAAGAGTTTAACATTTTTTTAACTTCATTTTCCCCCCCAAGCCTCCACTACTGCTTTTGTTTCTTTTCTCCATCCCGACACTTCCCAAAGCACGTTTCCGTGGTGGTTGGAAGACAGGTAGGTGACTAAGGACTACCTTATTGAGGGGACACCCGTACTCCTTAAAAGAAGACATTCAAAGTTGAAGCTTTTTTGAACAAGAGCCATTTTTTTTTTTTATGATACTTTTACAACAGAGGTATTTTGCTGCTAAGACAAATCAAAACCAAAAGTTGTGGACTCAGAAAGCTCTGATGCTCTTTGGAGTTCTCAGAAAGTAGAACAGGGAACCTGCAGAGGAGACTCACAAGTGGTCCTTAGAGGAAGAAGCAAGCCCGGAGGAACGAGGGGCTTGCTGCCCCAGAGAAGTCACTCGTCGCTGGGTGGGACCTCTTGGCCAAATAGTTAGAACAACAGCCCCCCCCTTACTGCTTCTGCATCAGGGCAGCAAGTCAACTAAATAAACTACAAGACCACTCGCTAGCTCCTACTAACTTTCCTTCCTCTTAGGAGTGTACACGGTGGGGGCTGCCAAGATACCAGAATGTGTGAGTGTGATTCAAACTGGAAAATCAACTATTCTGGATGTGTTTGTATCAAATATTTAGGTGTCGTTTTAAATATTTACATTTTAGCAAGACCTTTAACAACAACTCTTATTCCATTTTAAAGTAAAAATTGTTTGCCAGGCTTCCTGGCAAATAGTCCTTTCAACTGTGAAGTTACAATGTGTATATATATCTGTATATTTATAAATATTATATATATGCATATATCCTTCATTTTAAAGGTACATTGTACAGTCTGTAGGTAGCATGTATAGTCGGTAGCCTATAGTCTCTGTTCAATGGTTGAAATGATTCTTTTTATAGAAAATCAAATCACAAGTGTTAGAGTTTTGTTAGTTTCGTTTTTGTTTTCTAATTTTTTGAATATTGCATGAGTAATTAATTCCCTATCTTTTGTATTCATTTCTGCATTTTATTTTTGCTCGGAGAGTGTGCCTTTAGTTTTGTGGCATTTGTATTCATCACTCTTTCAATCATGTAAGTTAAAATAAAAATTATTTTTGAATTATTACTCTTATGCACAGAGTCTGCTCTGTTTTTCACTTGCCCTTCTTAAACTGGCATTTCCACAGCACAGTACGCCTCATTTTGCAACTTGAATTTCTTATCTTGAAATTCCTTCACTTGAAAGATTTGTTGTAAAGCTAATTGGAGAAAAAGAGCTGTGTTTCAGAATTGTGGTATCTGAGCAGAGACCACGAGCCCCTTCGGGATGCTAAGGGCCCTCATTTATTTGTGTGTTCCCAGCCCGCACCCCACCTGTGCCATCACAGACGCTTCACCCCCACGTTCGACTGGGAGAGAAGTATTCACCCACTGACATTATTAAATATCGGTGATTTCTTTACCTGAGTCAGTAGGGAAAAAATTGTCCTATAAGGAAGGTTTATTGCTACGCTGTTTAACCGAATTGCCTTCCTTAACTTCACAAGAGGGTAAGGAAAATTGTAAACCCCAGCTTGGCAGAAAACACCAGCACTTCTTACTGTATCCGAAAAGCAAATTAGTCAAATGGAAAAAAATATTTTTATCCCTGAAGTTTTCCTGGAGAGAATATCTCTTCTTAAACCAATATTCTCTTGTGTTTGAGAAATGCTAAGTATACTTTGTGTGAGAAACAAATCATTTGCTAAAAAACCTGATCTCTAACTTCTCACTTATTCAAAAAGTTTTTCTTTCTCTATTTATCTGCATACTTACTGTGAATAAGGTATATCCCGCGACTGTTCTCACACTGCAGATACAGCAGGAAGGAAAAACAAAAGACCTAAAAACCTCTGCCCTCACAGGCTCGTATTCTGATGAGGGGAGACAAGACAGGGAAGGCATCACACTTGTACAAGGTTGGGGACAGGAGCAGTGACATGGCAAAGGTCACAAGTTTGAAGAGGGTGTCCGGGGAAGGCCTAACAAAATTCCAACCTGAGGAACTGAGGGGTCCACCATGTGAAGATCTCCGGGAAGAAGAGGTAACCATAAATACGGGGACCTTGAAAAAGAGCCGTGCTTGGGGTTTTCGATTTTCTAGCAGACACTACTTACTTTTAAATTCTTTTCTGGTAGACACATTTTAAAAAGTAAAAAGAATAGGGGAAGTTAACTTTAATAATACATTTTGGGGGGTGCCTGGGTGACTCAGTCGGTTAAGCATGCAACTCTTGATTCCAGCTCCCGTCACGATCTCACGGTTAGGAAGTTTGAGCCCCTGCATTGGGCTCCACACTGATGATGCAGAGCCTGCTTGGGATTCCCTCTCTCCCTGCCTCTCACTTTGTCCCTCCCACTGTGAGATCGTGACCTGCGCCAAAATCAAGAGTCGGACACTGACTGAGCCACCCAGGCAACTTCATTCTTTTTTTTTCATACCAAATCTTCAAAATCCAGCATGTGGCTTATACTTACAGCACATGTCAATTCAGATGAGTCACACTCATGTGCTGCAAACTACATGTGGCTACGGTGCTGCCCGATGCGTGTCCGCGGGTCCCAGTTGTCCCACTGAGAATCCTAGATGGCCTATACGTGCACACACATGTGCTCACATACACGCATGCACACGTGTATGGATACAGGGTGCCAAGCATGGATGACGTTTGTCATGGCTCTTTCAGGCTCTTCTCATGTAGAACAGTAGCCTCTCTCCCTTTTCTTGAGCTTCCCTATCTTGATATATTTGAAGAGTACAGGCAAGCACATTTTGTAGAATGTCCCGGATTTGGACAGGGGGTCCAAATTTCTACATTGGAAATGAGATGAGAGACAAATAAAAGCCAAGGGCGAATCCAAAAATTTCAGCCGGAACCACTGGAAGGATCTGCCACCATCTTCCAAGACAGCGAAACTGACCAGGCGCTGGCTGGGAGAGGAAGACCGCCAGTCCTGATTCGGACATGTTACATTCGAGGAGCCATGTAGACATCCAAATGGATGGCTATCGAGTTGGCAACAATGTGTTTGGAGTTCAGGTGAGAAATCTAGTTAAAAATACAAAACTGGGGAGGGGGGTGCTCAGTTGGTGGGAAGGTGTGACTCTTGATCTTGGGGTTGTGAGTTCAAGCCCCATGTTGGTATAGAGATTGCTTAAAAAATAAAGTGTGAAATATGAGGTGCATGGGTGGCTCAATCAATTGAGCATCTGACTCTCCATCGCGGCTCAGGTCATGATCTAATGTTTGTGAGTTTGAGCCCCACCTCGGGCTCTGAGCTGACAGCATGGAGCCTACTTGGAACTCACTCCCCCTTTCTCACTGCCCCTCCCCTACTTGCTCTGTCTCTCAAAATAAATAAATTGTTTAAATAAAAAATAAAATGTTAATATATATATATATATATATATATGGGTCTTCAGCATACGGATGGCACTTAAAGCCATGAGACTGGTTTATTTCCTCTAGGACGTGTAGATCAAAACAAAGAAGAGCTGTAAGGAACAGCCTTGAGACACCCCAATATTTAGAGGTCATAGACAGGAGGAACCAGCAACGGAAAACGGAGGGTGGCAAGCAGGAGAAAATGGAGTGTGACGCCTTAGAAGCTGTTTGCTAGGCGAATCAAGTGTTTTGAGGAAACAGGAGTATCACATGCTGAGGACTGAGAACTGGACTCAGCAGGATGAAGGTCATCAGTGACCCTGTAGAGCGATTTTAATAGATTCTTGGGTGTGAAGTATCTCTTTGGAGTCCATCCAAGAGAGGGTGCAAGAATATTTGAAACGCTAAGTGTTGCAACTCTTTGAAAAGTTCTTGGTGCCTGGGTGGCTCAGTCAGTTGAGCGTCCGACTTCGGCTCAGGTCATGATCTCACATTTCACGGGTTCGAGCCCTGTGTCGGGCTCTGTGCTGACAGCTCAGAGCCTGGAGCCTGTTTCGGGTTCTGTGTCTCTCTCTCTCTCTGCCCCTCCCCTGCTCATGCTCTGTCTCTCTCTCAAAAATAAACAAACATTAAAAACAAAGTTTTGATATGAACAGGAGCAGAGCAATAACTTGGTGGAGGGATTCTATGAGGTCAAGAGAGTGTTGTATTTTTTTTTTTTTAATGAGAAGAAGTACAGCCTACTTGTTGATGTGAAAAGGATCCAGTCAACATGGAAAACTTGGTTAAGGCAAGGGAAGAATTGCAGGGTGCTGTCTGTGAGTGGGACAAGTCATGAAACGTACTGCAGGAATGGAGACGGGCCCACGAGAGCAGGACACTTGGAGTCTATGTGCGTGTGCGCTCACGGAGACAGGTAGACGCGATGAGAGGCAACCATGCCTCCCGTCGACAGCTTCTATTTCCTCAGCAAAACAGGATCAACGTAGGACGTCCATGATGATGTGGAGGAAATCTCTGATTCCATGACAAATAAGCAGAACAGGCACGATGCTGTGGAAGGGAATTCAGAACGGACTGGAATACGCCAAGGAGGACAGGCAAGTCCCCGTAGATCCTGTGCAAGCAGAGGGGCGAGGGCGGGATCGCACCCAGCGTGCGAGAGGAGAGGCCAGTGCGGTTGACGCTGAGAGTCCGTGTGTAAGTGAACTTGGTTTGGCTGAAACTGTAGAAGGCCTTCGATGCCGGCCTGAAGAATGGAGGCCTCCGTTGCTTGCCCCTGACTTGTGGATTCCATTCTCCGGTGTCGCTAAGAGATGCGCCCAGAGTTCTAGACTGTGAACCTTGGCAGCCACAGCACAAGCGTAACTGGAGCACCGCAGGCCTTTCTCGCGCAATGGCTAAGACACGAACTTCCTGTGCACGGTTTTGGACTCAGATCTATCACTATTTTGTGAGGCTGTACCGGCGCCTCCAGAAGTTCTGGAATGTCACTGTGAAGCACTTTTTCATTAAGAAGAAGGAAGAAGAAGAAATCCCTTCGGTTGACAGTATTTTTCACAAAGAAAAATTCGTGGTGCTCGGTCGAATATTGAAGAATCAATCTCTAGCCGTTGAGAAGAGGGCTCAGGCTGCATATAGAATCGGACTGTTGGCCTTCACGGGTACAGATTTATTTTTTCGTTTTTAATGTTTATTCATTTTTGAGAGACAGAGACAGAGTGTGAGCAGAAGGGCAGAGAGAGAGGGAGGCACAGAATCCGAAGCAGGCTCCAGGCTCCAGGCTGTCAGCACAGAGCCCAACAGGGGCCTTGAACTCATGAGCCAGGAGATCATGACCTGACGTGAGGTCAGGTGCTTAAGCAACGGAGCCACCCAGGTGGCCCATGCCGGTATTGATTTAACCAGCTGTGCTAACACAGGTCTTTCAAAACCTTTTTGCTTGTTGTAACACTCTAAGTGATTTTCATAACTCTGGTCTTAAGATTCCAATAACTTTTCCTTTGCCTAAATTTTTAGTTTTTTGTCTTTCTACCATCAAAGATATTTACTAATCATTTTCTCCTGAAGGAGCTCATGTTTTAAAAGAATGTGTCCATCCGCTAGATTCTGCTCCTGAAATCATTAGTGCACTATATGCTAACTAACTTGGATGTAAATTTAAAAATAATTAGGGGTTAAGTGTCCAACTTTGGCTCAGGTCATGATCTCACGGTTCGTGGGTTTGAGCCCCACGTTGGGCTCTGTGCTGACAGCTCAGAGCCTGGAGCCTGTTTCAGATTCTGTATCTCCCTCTCTCTCTGACCCTCCCCTGCTCACGCTGCCTCTCTCTCTCTCTCTCTCTCTCTCTCTCTCTCTCAGAAATAAATAAAACATTAAAAATTTTTTTTAAAAAGGAAAGACACTTGAGGTATTAGTGAAGAGCAATTGCTAATGTATATTTGGCCAGAAAATTAAGTGGTTAACTGCTCAAACATCCACCACTCTAATGACTATCAGGTTTAAACTCACTCCACTTTTTTTTCCAGTGATTTTCAGGATATGTGATGAAATTTTATACATTATCTTCAACAGCACGTCTCTTGATTAGAAGCTCTGGCTGGTAGCTATAAATCTCTTTGACAGACCCATGTCTTTTTTAATGGGTTGCCTTGATGTAATTCGATAGACTAAATTTTTCACAGAATGACATCCCTGAGCGAAAACATTTACCGTTTTCAAGGACCAAGGGGTCCTAGGTGCCAGAATGGGTGAGAGCCACTGGCATGGAGCTACAAGGAAGACAGGGGACTCCCGTGTGAAGGAAGTGTAAATGGTGTCCGCCACCTGAGAAATTTCCCTGTATAGCTTTGTTCATCATTTGGGGGAAGAGCTGGTTAGTTATAAAAGAGTCAGAATTCTTTAACTTGATGGTATATAGCCTTAGCCTTACTTATACTGGTGGAAGGCAGGGAAAGATTAACATTGGCTAGAACAGCCTCGGGTCCATGGGACTGTGGTAGCGCCACTAAGGGAAATCCAAGCCAGGTCAAACCCCCAGTGGCTAGAATCTGGCCAGGTAGGCCAGCCCCCCCTCACCCGCTGAAGAGTTTTCGTCCAATGTTTTCTTGGCTAGTACCGTCTTAGGGTTTGAGATTTGAACAAGGGCGATCCGGGGTTCAGGTACAGGAGGAAAGTAGAGTCTAGGTCCAGGTTGGGTCAGCAACCAAAGCAAGGACCATCTTGTAAGGTCATGTTGGTCCCAGAGCTGGGAAATGAGACGTCAGAGAGAACGGGATAGCAAGGCACAGCTCCTGAGAAACCTCTTACGAGTTAGATCCTGGCTTTGCGGGAAGTGTTTTGATTTTCCATTTTGTTTGTCTATTCGTCTTGAAATACTGACTCCTAGGTGCCTGAATAAAGGAGCCAGGGAGAAGCCTTTGGGCAGGCAGGAGATTGCCAGGGCTTTTCACAGTTTTTGCTCATCAACACACTTTTTCGTGTTCACAGCAGCGCACCAGGAGGAGAAAAGGAGAAAGGAAAAGTCAGAGAAGCCGAAGCGTCAGTGTAGGCAAAGGGAACGTGGACACATCAGCGTTCCAATGTCACCAGCTCCTAGATGTACCAAATACTTCTGAAATGCAAATACTTCTTTTCCAGGAGGCCCCACTGCTGGGAAATATGCGGCAGAGCACATGAAAGAAGTAGCCAACTTGTTGCAAAATCACCAGATGGCCCAGAAAGTAAAGATCCTGCTGCTGCAGAGTGTAGCCTGCTGGTGCTACCTGGATCCCGTGAGCCAGAAGAAAGCCAAGCATTTCAAGTTTATCCCGATCCTCACGGAGATCTTTGAGGACAAAGTCGATTCTGGCATCAGGAGTGAAACCAACAGGAGCCTCCTTGTTAAATTCTGGGCTTGCTACGCGCTCTCCGTCATGACGTGCAATAACTTGTCCTGCACAAAGGAGCTGAGAGACTGCACTAATCTGAAATATCATTTGCAAATACTGGCGAGTGAGAATTGGTCTGGGTGGCCTGAGAATTTTGCAGAGGTGCTGTATTTCCTCATCGGTTTTCACAGGAATTAATTTTTGTAAAGGAAGCTACAGTTGCATTAGCTGGAAAACTGAAATAAACAATAACGAGTCGAGACGGTAAAGTGTTTTCTTTTAGGCGGTTGAAAAATCCTCTCTCAACTGTCATGGTGACCGAAATAACCAAACGTATGAAGAGCATTGCTGTTTAAAATGACCTCATAGAGGGGCGGCCAGGGTGGCTCGGTTGGTTGAGCATCCCACTCTCCATTTCATCTCAGGTCATGATCTCACGTTTCGGGAGTTCGAGCCCCACATTGGGCTCTAAGCTGACAGCATGGAGCCTGCTTGGGTTTCTCTCTCCCTCTCTCCCTGCCCCTCCCCTGCTTGTGCTGTCTCTCTCTCTCTCTCTTTAAATAAGTAAATAAACGTTAAAAAAAATTTTAATAAAAATTAAATGACCTCATAAAATATAAGTTCATAAAATGGGGATTCAGTGAATGATGTTACCTACGCGACCGTTAGGAACAAAGTTGTGTTTGGCGGGTTATCAGATAACATTACTACAAGGCGCCTAGAAATGCCGAATCCTAACCTCACCCACCGCCACCCTAGTAGTGGACATGCCCCACCTGCACCCTTTCAGCCCTGACTGTCTCAGTGCCGATCTGCCAGCTGCCACCACTTCAGCTGAGAGGGTTTCCTGGCCACCAGCACATGAACCTGTTGCAGGTCAGCTGGGAGTTCAGGGCAATTAACACTCAATAAAACGGCAACTTCACTCCACTGGTAGAACTCCGGATGGAGACGGGGGTGCTGTGTGTTCAGACACCTAGAGACAGCCTACAGGTAAGCTCTCGGGTTTTCCTACAAAGACGCGCACAATCCCTATGTTACCAGCTAGGGAATAAGTAGCAGAAACCCTGCACTTGACTTCCGTGCCCCCCAGTCTCATTAAAAGCTTGATTGCAGAGGGGCGCCTGGGTGGCTTAGTCGGTTGAGCGTCCGACTTTCGCTTAGGTCATGATCTCGCGGTTCGTGGGTTCGAGCCCCGCGTCGGGCTCTGTGCTGACTGCCAGCTCAGAGCCTGGAGCCTGTTTCAGTCTGTGACTCCCTCTCTCTCTGACCCTCCCCTGCTCACGCTGTCTCTCTCTCTCTCTCCTAGAAATAAATAAAACATTAAAAAAAAAAGCTTGATTGCAGAAAGTGATACTGATCTCAAGTGCCTAAAAGCCCACGAGCAGTTGCCTCTGGCTTACGTCGCAGCCATCGGAGGTTGAATTTTTCACCTTTTTCACACACTGGCTCTGACTGAGCTGTGCCTCAGTGTGATGTGAAAAAGGCGGTGCAGGTCTATGATCCCGGCTGGTATTTCTCATAGGAGTGCTGATCACGCCACGTGGATTCATGGGGCACACGTGCTCTCATGTTAAACCAGAGAAAGTTGTGTTCCGCTGAGCTGCTGTATGTTCTCCTCCTTTGTGGATTTGGGGAAGGCAGCTTTTCTCAAACTAGAATCCTATTTATGGTGGTAGATTAAGGGTTGGAAATTGGAAGTCTCATTTAGAGACTGGGTCATGGTCAGAAATTACTTTTTGTTAGTGCTTCTTATTTTATTATTTTTTGAAGTTTATTTAGTTTTTGAGAGTGAGAGAGTGAGAACCAGCAGGGAAGGGGTAGAAAGAGAGAGAGACAGAAGTGGGCTCTCTGCTGTCAGCACGAATGTGGGGCTGGAACTCACAAACTATGAGATCACGACCTGAGCTGAAGTAGGATGCTTAACTGACTGAGCCACCCAGGCGCCTCTGTTCATGCTTTTTAAATTAAATTTTAATAATAATTTCTAAGGAATACATGAACATACTTTAAAAAGTCAAATAATGCAAGGACTCTGACCAAGAAACAGCAGTCCTTGAATGCCCTCCTGATTCACACTCCCAGAGACAACCGTTTGAATTCTTTCGGCTGTTTCTTCTGGGTTGTTTGTTTGTTTGGGTTTTTTTGTTTTGTTTATTTCCATAGGTCTAAATAGTTCACCTACATTGCTACTTTTTCCCCCCAATTTTAGGTAATTTTCTTTTTACCTAATATGACAGTTAAGGTCTTGAGGTTCCGACCCTGTTCCTTGCTGGGGTCTCTTCTTCCTCCCTTAATACATAATCATGCCACAGTTGTTCATGAAAATAACAGCCATACTTCAATGTTTTTCGTAACTAAGTAGTATCGCGTCATATCATTTCCTTCCTCCTACAACTCTGTTTTCCCTGGAGTCTGGCTCCTTTGTTTTATTGCTTAGTCTCATTCATGGATTCCCATCTCCATAGCGGCTCAACCACTCAAGAGTTGCCCGTTGAGTGAGCGTTTCCCCCTGAAGCCAGCCCCCACCCTGGATTTTTCCATGCTCATTTTCCCATCTGCACCTGCCACCTGGCTAACGAATATTCTAGGATTTCCCTTCACCACTGGGGATCCCCTCTCTCTCTCCATGTTGCACCCTCCATTTCCCACTTACCACTGAGTTCCTTTTTCTGGTTCACTCCCACAGCTGAATTTGGAGCAGGTTTTCCACTAGTTTCCTCAGAAAGAATGAAGAGGAGGTTAATTTTTGGAGACCTGTCATTTCCAACGATGTGTTTATTTTTCTCATGTGGTCATCAGACGTCAGCATGCCTTTGACCCTGGAGGAGCAGCAGAGAACATCAAACCCCTGACTCATCAGAAGGCAAGAGCCAGGCTGAGCACATTCAGTTTATTCGTCCCAAAGCCTACAGTCAGTGAGGCCACTCACCTCTACTGAGACAGGAGTGTTCAGGACGGGAGTTTCACACCCCTGGAAGAAAATATCAGATTTAGAGTCTTTTTAAATGTTTTTCCTTTTTTTTAGAGACCAAGAGAGACAGAGGACAAGCAGGGGAGGGGCAGAGAGAGAGGGAGACCCAGAACCCGAAGCCGCTCCAGGCCCTGAGCTGCCAGCGCACAGCCCAACGCAGGGCTCAAACTCACAAACCAAGAAATCATGACCTGAGCCCAAGTCAGATGCTTAACTGCCTGAGCCCCCCAGGCGCCCTGAAAACACCAGATTTAGAAAAGAAGCAGGCTCCCCTGTATCTTTCCAGAGGTATTCTATCTGTACACAAGAAAAGTACATATATTCCTTTTCTTAGTCTTTTTTGTTTTAACATATAGTAGAGTTTTATTTGCACCAGTATTTTTTTTCTGGTGTTCACCTCTTTTTAAATTGAAGTATAATTAACATGCAATATTATATTAGCTTCAGGTACACGATATAATGATTCAACAATTCTATATATTACTCACTGCTCATTGTGACAGGTGTACTCTTTTTTTTTTTAAGTTTATTTATTTTAAGAGAGAGCACAGAATGTGAGTGGGGGAGGGGCAGAGAGAGAAAGACATCCCAAGCAGGCTTCACATTGTCAGCACTGAGTCTGATACGGGGCTCAAATCACTAACCATGAGATCATGTCCTGAGCCGAAATCAAGAGTCGGACACCTAACCAGCCGAGCCGCCCAGGCGTCCCATGATAAGTGTATCTATTTCACTCATCACCCCCCAACCCCCACCTTTTCTCTGGCAACCACCAGCGTGTTTTCTGTATTTAAGAGTCTGTTTTGAGTCTCATTTTTTGTTTTTTTGTTTGTTTCTTGAATTCCACATGAGTGAAATTATATGGTATTTGTCCTTCTCTGACTTATTTCACTTAGCATTACACCCTCTGGGTGCATCCATGCTGTTCCCAACGTCAAGAGCTCATGCTGTTTTATGACTAATATTCCATTATCTATATGCCTATATCTATATCATGTCTATCTATACCTCTCATGTCTTTATCCACTCATCTATATCTATATATCTATAATCTTCATCTATATCTATACCCTCTATCCCACATTTTCTTAATCCACTCATCTATCTGTGAACACTTGGGCTGCTTTCATATCTTGGCTATTGTAAATAATGCTGCAATAAATAGAGGGGTGTATATATCTTTTCAAATTAGTGTTTTCGTTTTCTTTGGGTCAATATCTAGTAATGGAATTACTGGATCATATGGTTAACTTCCATTTTTTACTTTTTGAGGAGCCTCCATGCTGTCTTCCCATGGTATCTGCACCAACTTACATTTCTACCAACAGTGTACAAAGGTTCCTTTTTCTCCACTTCCTTGCCAACACTTGTTATTTCTTGTGTTTTTTATTTAAGCCATTCTAACAGGTATAAAACCATCTATCATTGCAGTTTTAATTTGCATTTCTCTGGTGATGAGTGATGTTGAGCATCTTTTCATGTGTCTGTTGGTCATTTGTATGTCTTCTTTGGAGAAATGTCTATTCAGGTCCCCTGCCCATTTTTTTATTGGTTTTTTTTGTTTTTTGTTTTTTGGTTTTTTTTGGTTTTGGTAGTTGTAGAAGTTCTTTATATAGCTTAAATATTAACCTTTTATGGGATATGTCATTTGCAAATATCTTCTCCCATTCAGTAGGTTGCCTTTCTGTTTTGTTGATGGTTTCCCTCACGGTCCAGAGGCTTTTTAGTTTGTTTTAGTCCCAATATAGTAATTTTGCTTTTGTTTCCTTTGCCTCAGTAGACCTATCTAGAAAAGTGTTTCTACGGCTGATGTCAAAGAAATCACTGGCTATGTTTTCTTCTACAAGTTTGATGGTTTCAGGTCTCACAGGTAAGTTTATAATCCATTTTGAGTTTATTTTTGTGTATGGTGTAAGGAAGGGGTCCAGCTTCATTCTTTTCCATGCTGCTGTACACTTTTCCCAGCACCATTTATAGGAGAGATTGTCTTTTCGCCTTGTATGTTGCTTGCTTCCTTTGTCCTAAATTGACCATAAAAGTGTGGGTTCATTTCTGGTATCTCTATCCTGTTCTACTGACCTGTATGTCTACTTTTGTGCCTGGACCACACTGCTGGGATTACTACACCTTTGCTGTGTATCTTGTAATCTGAGATGATGATACCTCCAGGTTTGTTCCTCCTTTTCAAGATAGTTTTGTCCATACAGGGTCTTTTGTAGTTCACACAACTTTTAGGACGGCTTATTCTAGTTCTGTGAAAAATGGGGTTATACCTACCAATACTTT